ATGTTTGAATCATTTCTGGTCTCTGGATCCACAGATTTGTGACTAAGAGTTCTGTTTCATAAGGATTTCATAAACACCGTTTTCCAACTGAAATATCTTTGCTTCTTAAATTCCTTCAAAGTTTATCATATTAAGAAATTATTATATTATTTACTCGGGAGCCTAGCAGTAAGTGATAAGTAGACTCACAGCAGACTTTTGCCGAGTGCATTCGAAACACCGAGTTAAGTAAATATATAAATTCATTCGTTTGTTTATTAGTTAAAGAATATCTATTTTAATATGTAGTAGGGTAAACGAAAAACAATATTAACATACCAAACATAGCTTTACAGTGCGTTGTTGTTAATCAAAGTTTGACATATATGTATATATATATATATATAATTAGGGGCAATTCAGCTAGGTGCGTCAAGGGTAAAGTGTGGGTTTGGTGAATGTTGGCGCCGATTTGTCATTGCATTTAATTAAGGAGTGTGTTTTGTCCTAAAAGCTAGAATTATTAGCACTTAACTAACTGCTGCATTGTCTATGGCCTGGTAAACAATATTCGATATAGCTTAAGAGTCGTTATTGGGAGCAAGAAATTGAATAATATTATAATATATTTTGATAAAATATTGTGACTTCTTTATACTTAAAAGAAATACAAAATGTTCAATTCTATTTAGCTCTGGTTCAGAAGAGTATTGGATACGTGGCTAACAAACCATGTATTGAACAGATTCCAATAAAGGAGTCTGATGTGCCCAGTGCTGGATTGAAACTATGTGGGGCCCGTGAAATATATCGTTACCGCTTAACATCTTCGTCAACATAGCTTTTTATCACTTAACTTCCGACATAGGGCTTAAACAGTTCTTGATATTAAATAGTATACTTAGGGTTTGCATTTCAGATACAATTTAAGAAGTAACTATCGGTTAACCACGTCAAATAATTGTCAAAATGCCGAAGTAACACCTATCGACCCCTTTGACCTTTGATCTAACTTATAAGTCCATCAATTTCTCCTATGATATTTCGAATAAAGGCAACCAAAGCGATACGATAATTATAAAACTTGACTTAGAAAGAAAGAGTTTGTGGATTTTTTGGTCACTTTGCGGAACAAATATTTAAGAATTGAATGGTTAGTTCGACACTGGCTGTGGCGTGTCAGAATGTATTGCGCCGAAATGAAGTATATTGTGTTCTAACATTCAATTTGGAGGCTGTGACAGTATTGTATTTTCATCATATGACATCCGATTACTGAAAGACATCTTTGCCCGTACCTAGACTACTTTAGAGTACTTTTTGGAAGAATACGGCATGGAACAGACTATTTTAAATTAGGCTGACCAAAGTGAAAACAAAATATTTTGCCAGGAATGGCTATGTCAGTTTGGAGTCTTATATTTAAAGATTTAAATTATGTATCCACACGTCGTTATTTTTAATTCCAGGAATCGGGCAAATCGCCAGAGATTACGACATTATCAACAACTTGATAAATTCTATTCAAATTCAAGCAGGACTGTTGGCGCCATTGACATCAGAGGCGGGCTGGACAAACTTAAAGCATTCCGTTTCTGTTGTCTTCATGTACATATTGGCAATGATATATTGACAATTATTAAAATATGATATATTGCCAACGTGTAAACAGTGTAAACATGTACTTAATAATTGTCAACTATATCAATGAAGGTTCTAATTTATGAATTGATAATTTCAGATTACCTTTTAAGACATTAAGGATAAACTAACACCACTTTTATCAGATTCAAATACCAAAGTCTAGTCTTGTTTTCTTGTGTCGGTTCTCGACCCAACTATCGTAATCACCCTTAGGCATTGCATTAACCTAAATAGTCGAATGTCAAACTGAACACGTCAATCGAATCTAATCGGTGCTATCGATAAGTTTAGCGTTTAATTGAATCGATTAATCGGTTGTTTATCGATTAATTTGTCTAACGTGATAGAATACTTATAGATTTGAATACAACAAAATTAGGTACCATTTTTCCAATTGAAAAACATTTTGCCTAAATGCATTAAAAAACCAATCTATATAATAGTTGATACCGTTACTAATATTACCTGATTCGGAATTTACGTAAAGACAATGGATGGAAAATAATGTATTACTTCTGGGTAATCTTCGGTCGTATAGATAATTTATATAATTAACTTTTGTCTACAGTTTTTTTAAACACGGGAGGGGAAGAAATTTTTGTGGAAACAACATAGATTAACTAACCAATTTAAAACTATATTTATCATTGCTCGTTTGGTGTATGATGATGTGAAAAAAATATTCTTCTGAAACAAGGTGGAATTAAAAAAGACAATTCCCGATATCTGCACTTCCCCATTGTTTCTCTTAAGATATTAAAAACATTCACACAAATATTTATCTAATCCGTAAATCAATCCTATAGAAACAATCCAGGTATATTTTAACTTCGATTCCGGCGGAATCACAGGCATAAATTGCGAAAAGACACGCGTAGGCGTCAACACGGTTTAACCGATTGTTAAAAAGAGTATCTGCTAAAAGTTTGTTCACTAAGTGCTTTACGTCAAACGTGATTTATATTGAACTTTGATAGCTGTTTCATGATTTTATTTTTGTTTTTTTTCGTATAATGCAACACTCAAAATATATAGTTGAATGTAAACTCTTGTTTACATAGGGTTTTTACAAAATTGTTAAGACACTAGCTCATCCGTGTTATATGTTTAAAACAAAAATGAATTTCTTAATAAACTTTTTATGAAGTAATCAATTTTTGTTTCGTATAAACAGAATTCATAAATACATTCAATTTTAGATTGTCCGAGTATAATTTTTAAAGAAACAAATATTAGAATGAAGAAGTTTAAAGAATTTAAAATAATTTAAAGTGGAGTTAATTGAAATATGAGTTTATATTATCTTATATTTGCAATGTTTAAAATTGAAAAAGTACACGATAAAAACGCTAGAATACCATTTTAATACCAACGCTACATACAGCCTTTTTTAGGTCTGGGCAGACTTCTATATCTAAATAGGTGATCAATTTCTGAGCCTGACATACGCGCTTGACTTTTTGGGTCTAAGGCAAGCTGGTTTCCTCACGATGTTTTCCTTCACCATACTAGCGAATGTTAAATGGGCACATATCCCGAAAGTGCTTTGACCCACAGCTGGGGCTCGAACCTTTGAGATCAGAGATGAAGGTCGCTACCATTTGACCCAACGGGCCGATATTACTCTTTAAAATAAAACCTATTAGTTTCACAAAATGTTGTATTTCGTAAAATCGGTTTATACATTGTAATCAGGTAATATGGTGTTCTTTAATTCGACATATTTATTATTAGTAGTATTTAGATGTAGTTGGAATAGCACCTGGAATATTTGAAAAGTTTTAAAATATATTTCTTTTATATATAGTAGGAAAATAATACAAAATGCCAAAAATAGGAATTCAGTTCGCACTTTGGTACGATTTTAATTGGCGCGCTCTGGACAGTTTTTATCTAAGAGCATAAATCTTTTTAAATTTATGTCCGCCAAGGCACGGTTGATTTTAAACATTCGATTATGAAATTCAACTGATAAATGGAGGTTTTAATTGCTTAAGATTTATCGAATTGACGATAGCATTACAAAGTTCTAACATGGAAGAAAAGTGAATCTTATTTTTGCCTCTCTCAAGAACTCTTGCCTTCAAAAAAAGAGCGTATCAACTCTTAAAAGGCCGGCGACTGCGAGCCCTCATGCGTTAAGTATGTCCATGGGTGGCGGTATCTCTTATTATCAGATTAGCTTCCTGCCCGTTTGCACCTTGTTCTATAGTAAAATAATAATAAATAACGTAAAAAACGCTGGAAACGAATTATAAATAATTAAATTATTAAAATGCACTTTACATTATTATTTTGTACTAAAATGCTAAACATTTTTGGTTAATTTAAATAACATATTAAGCAAATGAAGGTTTTTGAAGGTATATACGAGGAAATAAATGTAGCTAACTAATGTAAAAACAAATTGATTTCCGTTTCCTAATTTCAAACCAGTTCATTAATGAGCAATATACACGTGGGACTCTACGACAAATTAATTTTAACGATTTTTGATGATAAAATGAATCATAGACTATATAATACTAAAATTATAAACTTAATAAGATAACAATAAGGTTTTTGACATTTGACACAGATCATGTTAGATACCTACAAATATTTTAAGACGGTTTTTACTTACCATTTTGTATTAAAAATGTCCTTAAGTAAACTGTATTATAGGTAAGCGTTCGTCAAATAGAATAGCAATTTTTAATAAAAATCATCCAAGGTTCTTTTGAATTCTCAACGGCTTATTACCATAATACAACAAAAGGTTATCAAAGACTCAGCTTGCCTCTCTTGAATTATTTATACTTTATTCTATTCCCCCTATTACCTAGTAAAAAGTTGTATAAAAGTTCAATTGAAGAGTCTAGTTGATTGATTTATATGCTATTGTGGATTTAATTGCAAAATAAGGTCAATGAGTACATGCAAGCTTAGATTAAAATTGAATGTAGAATTCATTATGTTGACAGCTTTATGGGACCGTCGAATAGGTTTATTTTTATTATGTGCCATTTCATGAGGATATCTAAAAAGTTCCTATTTAAAATTTACTTTTTGAAAATAGAACACTAAACATTAGTGGAATGTGTGTAACTTATAGTTGTATTACATTTTAAAAGTGCTCCTCGTTGTTTGAACGAAAAATGTACGTAACGAATTTAATATATTAAATTTACCATCACTGTTGTTTTATATATATAATATAGTAAAATTATCGTTTAATATATATAAAACTTAGTAGCCTATATTTCAGTAATATATCCGTACTATTGAAAAAGGAAAATGAATCGTCTACGAAGCCCACAATATTCTTGACACATCTGTCCCGAATTCCGTTTTATTCTTCGTCTTTAAGTGTAATTGTCGTTCCTTTGCAGGTCACCATGTCAACGGGCAGCTGTTCAGGCCCGGGAATCTGTGGGGGAGCGAGAAGAAGGCCGCCCCCACCTCCTGAGCCGGCGCTGTCCCTGGCAGCAGACCTGAGCGAGCTAAGTCTAGATCAGGGATATCATACCCTAGCTGACTGCGGCCCACCCAGACGGCGGCGGGATAATAGCTTGAGTGATGCGCTCTGGATGAAGATATTATCGTATTTAGAGGTAATTTACGATCTGTAAAGTAATAAATTACGAATTACATCTTTCGTTTTGTGCTTTGAATGTGAAACAAAAGACGACCGTGCGTTTCGTTTGATTGTGATGAGTCAAAAATTTGACTTGTGGTGGGTAACATTGTAATCTTACGTTTACCATGTTGTTGTTTCGTTGACAAGCTTAAAAAGTAACATAAATACCAATCCAACGACACAACCGATCGTGTCATAATCTTTTTGTAAGTTCTTTCTACATATCTAATTAAAATTGTGATTAGAAATATCTTTATAAATGTTTAAGGTATTTAAATATGAAATAAATAACTAATAATTGTTACGTGAATATTAAATTTGCCATTATAGTAAACCTTTAAATGGAGACGACGCGTTCTTTTGTCTTTAGTATTTCGGTTTCTACTTTCTAGCCCAAAGCGCGGGAAACGCGGTGATTAAATTTGACATGTCAATTGTCAAGTCTATTTATTTTACAATGTAAAGGTTTTTGCCTTTCCCATTAGGTATAAATTAATATCATCATCATATTTTACAATGTGCGTCGAAATATGTTCATCTCCATATAATTTAATAATTATTTTACGCCGAACGATAGCGAGAGACTTAATTGCTTGCACGTTTTTGTTTGACATTTCTAACCCCGTAGATAATTCTCAAAGCTTTTATTGACATTCGAAATTACATACTTTATTTATCAAATATGATGACTTTAGGTATCAGACTTATGCCGAATGTCCCGGGTGTGTCGGAGATGGTCTCGTTTCGTGAACAGACTGTTGGCTCGACCTGAACCCTGGCGGAGAATCCGTGCAGCTGGTCCGTTAGAGATCGCTGCCAGATGTGCTGGAGCCAGAGCCGGCTTATGTGCTGGATCTGTTAGAGAATGGAGGATGAAGAATACTGCGGTAGGATATTTCATTGTAACGTGGTTTCCAAGTAAGACCGCAATGTATCACGTACATAAATTGGGTAGAGGTTCTCGATAAATGTGAAACAAACGAATGATAGCAATGTATTTTGAATTACAATTTCTGAAAACTCTTCGTAGAAATTAAAAAAACAGCGAATTAAAAATAAATACATTTCGCATTGTTTACAGCAAGCATGCAAACCTTATTTATTAATCATTAGAAATATTTTTCGAAAAAATTGATTTTCGTTAGAGAACATTTTTAGCCTTGAAAATGTAACTAGTGCTGACTGAATCTAATATATTAAATTCTCGTGTCACAATGTTCGTTCCCATACTCCTCCAAAACGGCTCGACCAATTCTTGTGAAATTTTTTATGCATATTCAGTTAGTCTGAGAATCGGCAATTATTTATCTTTCAAAACCCCTAAGTTATAAGCCCTATCTACCCCAAAAAAATTTTTTTTATTTTTTAGACAATTTTTTTGTTTTTATTTTTTTATGATACAACATATAAAAATACATACAACCCCTAATTTTCACCCCTTTACGATCAACCCGTATTTTTATTATAGTAGAGAGTTATTTTGATTGAACTAAATGTTTCCTAGAAATAATAAACATGGCAAAACAACGTTTGCTGGATCAGCTAGTTTTACTTTAACACTAAGCCCCACAAGCCTCAATGGTTACAAATTTGCTTTAAATCATCGCTGTTAATCGATTGACTTCTGTTAAAAAAGTTCATCGCTAGTTAATAACATCATCTATAAAGCTTGTTGCACTGAGGTTTTGTTTCTTTTTCAGGTATCAGTAGCGGGCGCTCAATTAGTGGCTGCTACGTTTAGAAATCTGACACATCTGGCACTCACCGGTTCAACGAGTATGGACGCGAGATCATTAGCTCCGCTAATAACGGATCTGATGGATTTGCGGCATTTGGATCTTACTGGTGATTGTCATTATTAAACATAACTTTTAAATTTTAGGGTAGCTATTTTTTTACCTACGAAACAGACATCCCATAAACATGGTTACACACTGCGTTGCCGGCCTTTTAGGGGGAATGGTTTTATTTAATTTGGTGGTATATCTTCCAGAGAAGACTTCCACTGGAAGCCGTTTCCACAGCTTGCTATTTCGCATAACGACAATATTATGCAAAGGAAGCTATACTTTAAACAACAGGGCTATTGTAATTTATCCAATTAACGTTCCTACGTTGCATAATAACAATTATCAGGAATTATCAACGAGTAAAAACAGTTTGCTCGATGCTGTAAATTAAAAACAAATACATTTTTAGAATGAAGCGGTAACCCTTCAGCAGACATACTTGAATCTGTTGAATAAAAGTTTATCTTTATATTAATAGATTAGCTTAACTTTCTGTGATTACAGTATCGATATACGTATATACTGGTTTATTTTGACGTTTACCTTCACCGTAATAACAGTAAAAAGTGTTTATTAAATGTAAAGAATCCATTGCACAGCTTGGGTTCGAACGAGTCCAGGATCGATTTCATACTTAAATTCTCGGATGCCACTGCCCATAGACATGATTACATAGTACATACATACTATAATTCAAAATGTATGAACTGTGTTCTAACCCGATGTGATAGACGAGTTTTTTTCCCGATACTACATTACTTATGCATTGGAAATTAATTATTCTAACGACACTAATAAACCTTATGTAGACTGTAAAACATCCCTTTTAAAACAAGCATCAATGAAATGCTGATTTTATGCCAATTAATATGCTAATTGAATAATCCATTTAATTTGAACTCACACGTTATAAAATCATCTGCTATGAGTGTTTAATTGATTTGCAAATTGTCTTTTAATATTAATTAACAAGTAGTTTTTGTTGTATATTTTTATAATTGTTTCACTTTACAATGTGTTATGAAACGATTATTCTGTAATGAAAAGATTATCAAAGTACCGCTTAAATATAACGCGCCGTTTATTCGGTTTTTTTTTCAATTTAAAAAGTATCTTACTTAAGTACTTTTATTTAGTTATTAAGTATCTGGTACTAGTTCGAAAAGCTGGTGACTGTATATACGATAAAGCTATTTTAATGCTGCTATAAAACAAGTATAAACCGACCGAAGAAGTTGAGATATTTTTATTATGTATTTAAATGTGATAATTTATATAACATGTAGATACCAGCAAAAAGTTAATTTATTAATTTCGCCTACGTCATTTAAAACTCGCGTTTCGTAATCGGTGCTTTCTATACATTTATTTGTTTTTAACACAGTACCAATGTAGTTTCTACCAAGGTTATTGCAAGATTTTTAAATTCAGAAATGCGATAATTATTTTTCTATTTCTAGGATGCCTAAACGTCGACTGGCCGGAATGGGCGTGGCTAGAAAGTCGGCTAGCAGCGCGACGTCCTCCAGTGGAATACATAGACCTCACTGACTGCAGCTCAGTGTCAGATGCTGGCCTCTGCGCTTTACTTCACACCTGTCCGTCTCTTCAGTACTTATATCTAAGGAGGTGTACTCTAGTCACAGGTAAGAAATCAGTTGAGTAGAGATTTTAAGTCTAGCAACCACTCACTACGAGCACAAACAAAACCAATTGACCGATTTTATACCAGATTTTATTACCGAAACAAAGGTATTCTACGTCCTATTTCCATATAGAAAAACTAGCTGACCTGCCCGGTCGTCGTTTTGCCATATATATCATTTATAATAAAAAAATAGGGGTTGATCGTAGAGGGGTGAAAGTTAGGGGTTTGTATGTATTTTTTAATGTATTTCATAAAAAAAAACAGAAAAAAATATCTAAAAAAAAAAAATATTTAGGGGTGGACTACCCTTAACATTTAGGGGGATGAAAAATAGATGTTGTCCGATTCTCAGACATACCCAATATGCACACAAAATTTCATGAGAATCGGTCGAGCCGTTTTGGAGGAGTATGGCAACGAAAACTGTGGCACGAGAATTTTATATATTAGATACAGTCGTAATTGCTAAGAGTCGTAGATTTTATGACATTGGTTCTTATAGTGGTAGAATATAATAGTAAGTTAATGAGTTCCAGGAACCAAGTACCATTTTTCTGACCTGCCTTGCGATTTTTTTTTAGAATCAAGGCAGTAGCGCGTAGTTCATAGTTGTACTTCCATTAAAAATTTCAGTGTACATAGTTTATTACTGTACTGCGCATTATCGGCGTTATATGGGGAGAAACGTTACTTTGTATGTCGGGAATTGTATTGCTGTACATGCTAAAATTATTATTCATAATTTAAATTTATGAAACAATTATATAAACCCGCAGAGAAATTGTTGTCCTAAACCGTAGACATATCCACGGACACTGCGATATATATATCTATATATATATATAATGCACGGACAAGGTAAAAACCGGCTGACCCTGTAAAAAGCAAAGAACACATGCGAGCCCAACAAGTAGGCTATAATGATGATGACATGATGATAAATGAGCTACAAATGGTTGGTAATGCAGTATCTATCATTAGAATAAGGGCCGGTGGACACTCAATAGCTTAAGGAACAGTGGGTTTGTTGCTCGCGGGTGCTTAATATGAATAGACAGTGAAAAGAAAAGTTGACATAAAAATCAATTCTTAAGTAAAGCACTCACGCCGTTAATCGCAACAAAACAATTTAAATCATACTACAAAAACATGGACTAAAGATTCTACCCTATTTGTAATCATGTATACCATTATTGAAGTGAAACTTCTTTATCGAGGTTGGAAAAAAATGTAGTGTAACATTTTTTCGTTACGCGTCACATTTTTCGGTTACGCGCCATGTTGCTTTTTGAAGTCAAACTTCTTTATCGGCGTTGGAATGAAACTTCTTTATTTATGTATGGGAGAAATTTTGTAGCAAATCGTCACGTTTTTCAATGATAGTAATAATTCTATTACAATTAATGAAATTCTATAATAATCTTCGTAGTAATAAGGTAAAATGAAATATTTGTATTCATGTCTATGATAATAAAAGCCTTTTGTTAAACTTTATCTAATTTAACGAATTTCTATAAAGTTGCATATAGTAGATCATTTTTCGAAAAATAAGATCATAAAGAAGTTTCACTTCTTACGTGTGTACACTAGTACACGCACAATTTATTTTTGATGGTTAAAGTAGCGTAACCATGGCAATAAAAGTAGTATCTAATAAATATCTTTATATATAATTTTTTTAACGTTTTATAGGAAAGCCGTCTAAGTCAAATTAATAATGGAAACTGACTACTTACTTAAAACCTTAAAAGTTATCTATTATATAAAAATACATAAAAACAACGACCAAATATCATGCCCTAATCTCGTGGCAATATTATATGCCGCCAACAGTCTCTTTGACAATATGAATCACGCTCATAATATGTAGTAGCGAACTGAAACGTGACCCATTCTTCAAACTTCAGTCTCAAATCTCATCTTATCGAATTCTTATAAATCATTCAAAGATTTATTCAGAATTTAATCTTATTTGAGATTAAATTTTAAAAACAATGTTACTAGATTATTTATTTATTTCAGAAGTTACGATATATTTAAACGTTGAAACATATGGAACGATTTGTTCCAAAGTATTCAAATTGTGTTAAGGATCCGTCGATATGAGAGATTTCTCATAAGTGTGCGCTGGACCTTATTCTCTGTTTATGATGGCTGTAGAGCGATTGCAATGGATGGATTCTTAAAGCATATTTATATTCTGTTTAGCAAACATACGACTTAAGTCATTTGCAATTAAAAACATATCCTTATTTATTTTATAGTCGATATTCAGTATCAACACGGCACGAACTGATATTAATTCTTAATGTATTTGTCCAAAGTTTATTACTGTCTATATAATTCGCGATATAAAATGTGAAGGAACGATGAGATTTCTGCCGTTTCTGGTCCCTCAGGGATGGGAAATGCGGTGACCCCAAGCAACGAGAAGGGAAGACGACGTAAAAGTCAGAGCTGGCAATCACTGAGGGAGTGCGTGCCCGTAGTCAATGCAAAATGGTAGTCAAATCTAAGCTAAGAGGCACACAGAACTACGTGACAGTTAATTTTTAAGTAATAACGGTATTAACGAATGTCCTAAAAGAGTTTGATTAATTGAACAAACACGTTGTCTAACAATGTATGTGTCTTTCGCTGATTCCTGTGATTGATTATTTTTTGAACTCCATTGAAGAAGAATAAATAGGTCATATTATAAACCAGCCTTACGAGCCAGACTTACAAACAATAATATTGAGAAAGAGGACACAAATTTATTGGGGTCAAAGAGGCCATGAGGTTCAAAATATTAAAACCATTTTCCAATTAAATTTGACTGCTAAAATATGATTTGTAGACAATACTGACCTTTGCAGAAATATCAAAGGTTAATGTATTCTATTGAAATGCACTGTCTCAATTATTATGACATCAGCTTGATTTATTTTTTAATGATCTTATGTCTTCATATTGTGTTTATGGAACATATTTAATGTTTCGTTGGCGTAGAATTTAATGATTGTACGTGTTCGATAGGCATTATGTCTTCTGTGAAATTTATAAAGAAGAAATTAATGAAGAAAATACGCGGATTTTGCGATTTATTACCAAATTTTATTCCGGTGTATGTGAGCTACATTTGTCAACAATTTATATTTTCTTAGCCATGTCTAAATTTTTAATATTCATATAAAACATTTATTGCCTTCTTTTCTATTTTTACAGTAACATAATACTAATACAATTAAAAACTTTTTAATACAAAACTTAATCTAAGAACATAATTTTTTATATAAACAAAACAAGAAAACAAAAAACCTAAAAAACATATAACAAATTATGAATAATTCAATCTTTGTGAATTTAGGCACTGTAATTAAATAGATCAGTCTCACATGCGATTTTATTATTTTACTTATGAATTTCGCCATATCTATTTTTGTTAGCCAAATGCAAAAAAATCAAAATCAAAATCAAAATACGTTTATTCAATTTAGATGCTTCTTAGAGCATGCTTATGAATGTCAACAACGTTTACAAAATTCACGAAAGAGCAAGACTACGCCATCCGTTCGCAAAACTACCAGGAGGCCTTGTTCTGAGAAGAACGGGCAAGAAACGACTGCGACTAATCATATCAAAATTTTCAGACGCAGGCGTGCGGTGGGTGCCTTCATATTGCGCTTTGAAAGAATTGAGCATGTCTGACTGTACGGGTGTGACAGATTTCGGCTTGTACGAGTTGGCTAAGCTTGGCCAAGCACTGCGCTACCTCTCTGTTGCCAAATGTTCCCAGGTATTTGTTTTTACGTTTGTATCGATATCATCATAATAATATCCATCATCGAGTCTCAACAGAGATACTAGTTGCTTTAGGATGAGTTTGACTAGGTTTTTAATACAATGCCTAAAAATGCCTAATATAGGCGGTCAAAGTCAATGAACGTTGTGGTACAGATTAGCTAAACTTAATTTATGATTTTATTAAAGTATTACAATGAACATAAAAGAAATATTAAGGGCACTTCTTTATTAAGAAATTAATAACGCAAAAAGAAATATTTGACAAGCAATATAAAGCAATATCTATTTATCATCTTTTTTCAATATTCGCCATTTTTAAATATCAAAATACGGTATTATTCGAATGTTGTGGATAAAACTTGTCGATTTGAAACCATTATTTAAATAGGTTCTTTAATTTGAAGAAAGAGTTTACCGTATCGACAAATGAACATTAAATGTTTTACAATTACGAAACCAATGAACATTTTGTATGGATTTTTTTTCTTTTATTATACCTTGTCGTCACTTTTCCAATGTTTTCAATAGTTATTATTGCTATTCAGGACGGAGATAAATACATCTAATAAATTCAGTTAGTTATATGTGTTCGAACAAACCCGACTTTGTTTTATATATTAAGATGAAATACGACAGTCGTGATAATTTGTTTGCCAAAATAGGTTTTCATAAATCCACGATTCTACGGCGACTTGCTTAGATTTGGGTGAAAAAGTAGCCAATAAAATCGTCTTGCTGAAGCCAGCACCAGCCAAATCTACTAAGAGGATAATTGTCAGAATAGTAGATGTATTAACTATCCACTTGAAATCAATAATCATTCTAACTTGATCACATTACAATTTAAATATGACGCCTTCTGTAAATTACATAGCAAAGTGTTGCAGGCGAACGTTTTATTGCTTAAGCTTATACCTGTATTCAAGAGTAAGCAAATAATATTTTTATTTCTTCACCCAAAAAGGTTATTAAAAATACAAAGAAATTATTTCTTATGGTTTCGAGCTTAAGCTGCTATTAGATGGACTATTTATTCATTCAATTAAAAATTGTATACGATATCTGAAAAAGGTAAATGAATTTGTAAAATTGCGCCTACTAAAATATACTTATCAAGATTTTGGTTGAACGAACTAATCTTATCTAAAACTACTTCAAATTGATTTTTTTGTGTTGGGTAGTCCATCTTTTATTACGGATTAACAAATGCATGCGGAGCGGAGCAATTATTAAAAATGTAGCAACGGGTTTCTTTTTACATTGAGATCTTCCTATAATATCAATTATGACTGATATTATTTATAATATCATTGTTTATTAATTGCATGCTACAAACAGTACCAAGTACCAATGCCAAACAACAAAATCATTATATCATAAATCCCTGACTGTGACATATGCTTATATTCGTGTGAATACATTTGAAAAGTGGGTTTGTCGACATAGTTACAAAGTTTAAATTGAAACATAAGTTTTATCCTCTGATTTCCAAGGAGATTCCAAGAAGTGCGGAATGTTGTTACTCATAAATTCTCTAATACTGAAATATATAAAACTACTAATTTTTAATTTATCTTTCAAGTTAAGTTATGTGATCTTAATAGAAACCTAGTATGAATTTTCCTGTGCCCTTCATATTACGTTTCTATTAGGATTACATAAAACAATGTCTGTAAATAGGTTTCAGATTCGGGTATACGTACATTGGCAAGGCGGTGTTATAAGCTGCGGTATTTAAATGCCAGAGGATGTGGTGCCCTTGGAGATGACGGAGTAGAAGCCATCGCAAGGGGCTGTTCCAGGCTTAGAGCACTCGATCTGGGGGCTACTGATGTATCTGAAAATGGACTACAGGTATTATAAACAATTTATAGAAATTGGTTCAATTTGGAGTAAAACTTACGGTTCGTACTAGTTACGGCTTTTATTTTCGTGAATGAACAAAAGCTGACTTAATTTGATTTAGCAAGCGTTTAGATATTACTTTGAATTGTTTTAAAATAACTATTAGTAAGTAAATTATGTCATATTTGAAAAATGTTCTAATGACATTTAATAGAAAGGTATTTTGTGTTCAGCCACTTTACGTTTGAAAGCATTAGGCAATGTACATATTGGTCTTCCATATTCATTTATAAAATATCATCACTTTATTAAACTTCAAAAAACTTATTATATGATACATAGCGTGAATAACAGAATTATGAGCTATTCTATTAATAATAAGACATACTTTACAAGAAAGATGATCACCTACTTACTTTACATTAATAAAAAAAAATATAACGAAACTGATCTGGGAACTGAGGAATCTGAAACGAAGCCGTAGAAGTTTTAGTGCCACGGGTTTTTGATGTGAAACATCTATAGCCGCACGTAAAACCGATTTCTGGCGTGGCGACGCATGCCGTGGCGACGCCACGCTATGTGATGGTATATATATATATATATATATATACAGTCTATATGCAGTAGTGTGTCCGGCGTGTGTATTTCGAAGTCACTGATTAAAAGAATTAGTAGTCACGATTTGAAATAAATTCGTAAATTTTTGTATTTAATGAAAATTGAAAATAAATGTTTATTCAATAAATAGTCATTGTTATCTGGAAAAAAATCGTAATATTTTATTTTATCATTATGACACATTTAGTTCCTATCACAATCTGTTTTTTCTGCATATTTCTGCATACTTTTACAAAATAATGTCGATGTTTCACATCTACCAGGCGTCCCGTGACGGCTCACATTTTTTTATAACTACATGATGTTTTTTACAAAAACAATGATTCAGATCCTGGCCCGATGCTGTCCAAACCTCAAGAAACTCGCCCTTCGAGGCTGCGAGCTGGTAGGAGATGATGGCTTAGAAGCGGTGGCCTACTACTGCCGTGGTCTTACACAACTCAACATTCAGGACACTCCCGTGACTTTACGCGGATATAGGGCAGTGAAAAAGTACTGCAAGCGATGTGTTATTGAACATACGAATCCTGGATTTTGTTAACAAATGTTTTCTGAACGTTTTATTGTGAAATACTTGGTGCTTTATTTGTCAATATGTATTATATGTTTGTAGAAGTATAAACTGTAAATATTTGTAAATGTAATTTTAAGTATATATGTATATTAATAATACAATATTTATGAAAATTTAAATATTAAGGTTTTTAAATGAGATATTTTTGGGTGAGTAAAATATTTTCTGTAACTGTATTTAAGTCGGATATATAGAAACAATTTTAAACATTTGCAATATATCCGTTTGAATAACGCATTGAAAGACTGGAATTGTTCTGTTTTTTAGTTATTATCAACTTTTCATACAATCTGTATAGGTTTCTATTACTTCCAAATACTTTCAAATCTTTTATCATACAAAAAATTATTACTTTTCTTTTATTATAGTCGATTTTGTCTCTGGTTAACCTTATCGATAATATAAACAAATGCTTTATACATTATGTAAATAGTGATTTAAGGAAATTCAAAGGTATATAATTTATCGACTTAAGGTTTCTTCATGAAACGAAGCGTACCAATTCTTAAAAGGTTGGTAACGCACTCGCGAGCTCTCTGGAATTAAATGTCCGTGGGCGGCACTTAAAATCAGATGAGCTTGCCACCTGTTTGTCCCTTGTTCAGTAAAAAACAAATTTAATGAATTAAACTTTTGGTGTGAAAGCAAAATTTTCCTCATAATAACAATGTTAGCAAGGAGGGTCAGGTAATCATGGCTTGATAAATTTTTACGATAACAAGCCTTCCCTTTTCGGAAATTATAATTTACATATTAAATTTTTCCAACGTGCTGTTTAAATACCGTATCAAAATTTTATTTTTAAATTACAACTTCTGTCCCGTGTTTAGCATAGGTGTAAAAGTTCTGTATATATTAAATAACAGACTATCAAAGTCAAAATAGCATTGAATGTAGACAACAATTGTACAGTTAAGAACGTCTCAAAATATATAATTTATATTAATCGCCAATGGGGTGTAAACAAAAATCTCTCCAGCAATCTTTTTCTTGTTCTTTTTGATGAAATAATGAAGGTAATAGGCACAGAATACTAAAATAACTCTTTAATATAATATGTTCAAATATATAGCTGCTACACACGAGAGTACTATGTACACGCTCTCAGCCGATCTCGTGAGGTCTTGCCGAAGTCGTATAGCAGCCATTATGTACTCTTATTTTCATACAAATCATAATAGTCAGTTGTTTAAAATGTTTATAAGTTTTAATTCCATCATATAACTGATTATACTGTCAAATTAAAATTCATAATTGCAAAGCTTACACGGAAGTAAAATTAGACATTTTGACTTTTAAGGTACTGCTACAAAGCAGGCCTTTTCTATTAAAATAGCATAGGTTTATTAAAACACGATTGTTGGTTTTTTCATAACTTAATAAGCAATATTGTGTAATTTTTAAATTTCTAAGCTTTGTATAAAAATCCGTCGTTATCAAAGATACAATCACGGTCGTAGCGTAAGCTTAATGGTGTATAGTATTTGGTATTAGATGTACATTTAGTTATTGTATTAAAATTGCCATTGTTATACAAAATAAGCAATAAATTATAATTTATACAGTGACTTTATACTTTCCTGACCCCAATATCTAAAATAAAAAATATAAATCAAAGGTCTCGAACGAATGAAGAAAAGATTATGTAAATGTGATTTCTTAAAGGGTGAGTTATTTACTAGGCCAAAGTGTTTCGTTGCCAAGTCATTTATTTGTACTTCGTCAGCCGCCTGATATATAGGTAAATTTGTGTGTGGAATAACATAAAGTTTACTTAAAAAACCCTATAAGTATGTAGTAATTTACCGTAAACGTGTTTGAGAATGCGCCTTTTTCTGAAAAAAAGCGAGAAACTATACCAAGATTCATATGAAAGTCAAGTTTAAAATAGCCATCGATGGTATAATAATTTTTAACAGAAAGAGAAGATGCACTATAACTAGTCTGGCCATTAATACTGTTACATAAAAATAAAAAATAAAAACTTTTTTTTTAAAGTTTGAATTTGGAACACGTATATTATTTTAAAAACGTCTTTCGATTTTGCGCCATTTCGGGGCGGCCGCGTGCTGTTAGAACTACAAAGGCTGTTAATACTGTTAAAGCCAGACTTCGTCGAAACCCCATTAGGAAGCTAAAGTCTTATTGCGAGAAATGAAGATTCCCGCTAGGACTCTGTCGCGTATTAAAGAGAATGGATCGAACAAAACGCCTTCTGTCTGAAAATCTCATTAATCTCATAATCTTTACCAATGAAAAAATTTTCACCATTGAAGATCATTTCAATAAGTAAAATGATAAAGTGTACGCTCACAGTTCTTAAGAAGCTGCTCAAGTGGTCGGAAAGGTACAACGTGGAAATCATCTTGTGTCAGCGATGGTTTTTTTGGTACTGAAGACTGGCCCTCGTCTATCCCAGACCTCATCAACCCTTTAGACTTCAAATCATGGTCAGTTTTAGAGGGCATGGCCTGCTCTAAACGACACGGCGACATTGAGACTCTATATTATATTGTATTGTATTTCGTGTACTATGTGTTGTATATTATTTATAATAAGTGGCGCTATGACCCTATATGGGTGTATTGTCCTCAGATTGCATCCGTTTATATTATAGTCAAAAAGTTCTGTGTCTGACACACGTCATCATTTTTGGGTTCGAGACATGCCGGTTTCATCATGATGTTTTCCATCATCGTAGAGCTAATAGAAAGAAAACTCTATTGGTACACAGCTGTGATTCAAACGCACGACCTCAGGGATGAGGGTTGCACTCAAAGCCACTAGGTTATCTACATATACATATCTATAAAATACCAGAAAAAACAAAAACAAAAAGGTCACGCTCTATAAACTACATAATGACTAAAACAGAATAAAATAGCAGTGCTTCAATCGGGCAATAAAACACTGGAATTTTCACCGGAATAAAATTCCTCAAAGTTAGTATTTCTCAAAATTCAAAATCAATGATATTTATGCCTTATTATTACTAGTATTTAACTTTTCGTTTTAATTAAATTCAATTAGTTTTTTTTGCAAGTAATTATTATAATTTATTTATTTCCTTTGAAGCAGTCATTTGTTTACCTAACTGTCTATCTTTTTATTGAAATAAAATGTAAACTTTTTTAATGAACAACCCAGTATATAGCGATTTACATGTATATTGGTATAGTTTGATATGACAATATGATATGAAATATTCTAAAACTACATATTGATAATTCTAAATAGATAACTAAAGAAACATAACTAAAAATTCGGTCTATAATGCTGGCAGTATTCCCTCGCTCTATTGCGATAGTTATTCGTTAAGCGAGGAAAGCAGCAGCTCTGTGGTCTTACCATCCAACTAAAATGCTGAAGTAGAAAAAAAGTCTATAGATAGAAAAGTATTAATCAAGACAAATTACTTTCATATGCGAAGTATCGTTGTGAAGTCAAAATGAATTTAAAAAATATAATATAATAAAGCAAGTAACCTATATAGTTGTAATTTGTGATAATGAAGGTAATTTTTTGAAGTTATACTTCTTTAGGCACGTTATGAAAAATGTATGAGAGTGAAATTTTACGATGCGCGCGCACCGTTACACAAAATGAACAGAATGAAGTTGCCCACGGAAGATGCTACGGCAATGGACATAATTTAAAAACAACATTCGAATAATAATAGAATTTATGTTACACTTAATGTAAGAGAATAATAATAAATATTTATTTATTTAATTTTTCAAATGTAAACTGAACTTTATTGACTATAATGACTCCTTTTCCAGTCTTTGATTATTTAATTGTAATTAATTTTTTGCATGCAATCAAAAACTATTTGCAACAATGCCAAAGAAGTATAACTTCTTACGCGCGTACATAAGTACACGCACCCTTTTTTTAATATGATGGAGTAGAACTACAACTTTGTGAAAATATTCTCCACTAAAAATTACCAAATGATCTGAATTTATATCCATATGTACCCAAATGAAGTTTGGTGTTTATATAAGAGTGATTTAGGAGTATACTTCAGAATATTACAGTTCTCAGGAAATGTTATTTTACATCCTATTTCTGACGTCTGACATGCAAGAAATAAACTTATACTCACAAACTGACAATACGAAATTGTCAGATAAATATTTTTGCTTCAAAAGCAACTCTGACTGCTGAACTCGATAATCGTATGTATTTTTAACTGGGACCCTCTAGGATAGTACTCGTTTATGAAGATAATTTACTGCATAGATTAAACCCTTAGACACACAAAGGAAGGGAAAATTCAGAAATTGTAAGGGTTACAAAGCTTTAAAAAGGTTCAGTCGCTTTCCCTTAGGGTTTTCTTATTGTGGATATAATTTGATACCCGCCCTAGCTATATTATGATAAATCTATTTAATTTATTATGATAAATATGTATTACAAACCTATTTTTGATAATAATTAAATGTCCGGTACATTTAATTATTATCAAAAATAGTCCAGTCATTTTGCCCTCCTAAAACCTCTATAAGTCAAACATGAAACCTGTACGTATACAGGTCAGTCAGGACGGTCATTTTTCGCGCGTGAACCGCGATAAGTGAGATTGATACTTGCCTATACCTCTATAAGCAACAGTTAAACGCAATTAAATTTTGCTATTTATCATTCTTAAATTTCGAGGGACTCTTATTTAATTCAAACCAAATGTACGTCTTTTTTGTTTTCTATAGTTTTATAGACCTCTATATGTGAGGCAGACCCCTTCTGTAACTCTGTAGGCTAGAAACTCGGGTTAGTGAGAAACTTCTATAAGAGAAAATGAGATCGCGGTCCCTTGCCCAAAATTGATAAGCTGAAGCGGTCAAAAATAATAAAATAAATCCGTGACAAACTACACAGAATGACCTAACATTCAATTATTATTTTAGACGCGATGAAATAATAAGCAAATATTGTGGCAAAAAAGGTTACGTCAAAACAAACAC